CCAAAAACGGTTAGGAGAAGTGTGCATTGTTATGTTGGGTTTTTGCCATTAATATTGCGCATGTAACTGACAAGTCAAACCTGCTTTTTGCTGCCCGCGTTAAATTAATGGTGTAAGCTGACCTCGTTTTTTTTAATTGTAAAGTTCCCTATGTCACTGGCATTTCTACTGATCCATAATTTCCATTGTGAGCAGTCTAACTAAAATAGATTTATACTGTGCCAATTTTCCAAACTCACATTGGTTTCTCATACAGCATCTCCTGCTAAAGTATGTGTATTCCACAGGTATTCCAGCTCTCTGTCCCTAACGGCTTGTTTGGAGCTCGCCCCCAACCCTGTGAGCCCAGTGCTGCTCTGATTTGTCAAGCGACGTGCAGCTGCTCGTGAGGAGCTGCTGTGAGGAGCGGACAGGCTTCCGGGTCGGCGATACAGCGAGAACAAGCTAAACTCATCCTGAGCACACACAAACACTCACAGCCGAAGTAAAAACAATAACTGTGGCTTGATATTGAGTAAGAAAAAGGTTTATAACGCTGTGAGCATGGGTCTCTGCAGAGAGCATTTCTCCGCCATCCCAACTTAGCAGTCCGAAAAACGTTTACCCATTTAAACAGTCGTGGTAGATACCTTGTTTGTTTTAAACATCATAAATACACAAACAACAATGAATACTTACAGGTTGTGTAGCCGAATCTCCCACTGGTCCAAACAAAGTAGGAACAGCATTGTTCTTCAGTGCTCTACGCTGTACATATCCGGCATGAATCGCTGAAAGGTTTGGGAAGCTATGTTTCGTGAAAGGCTTGCAGAGCGTGCAGCCATAGCTCTGGGCGTGGCTACTGGGTATCCCAACGTAGCGATACCCAGGAAGAAAACGAGAAATCTCCAACGAGGCGTTTTGGGGAGGTATTTTCTGTGTTAGAGTTGTACTCCCTACAGGGTGTACTTTGAGGGTTTGTGACTCTGCAGACCGTTTACATGCATAAAAACCTTCATAACACACAAGGGGACGGGTAATAACCGGAAAAGCATGACATGGGACCTTTAAAAAGACTGAAGCTGTCTCAGGCGATGACATTGCATACTCCCAGTTGATGATGTACATGAAAAACAGTGTTGATGCTCGTAAGTGAGTTTGCAGTGATGATGTATTTGGGGTTAGCATCACAAGGGCTCCCTCAACAAAACCATTGGGATTTTCCATTGGATTTTGGAATATTGGAGAAACTAAAACATGTTTAGTAAATATTTATGATACTTACACTCTTTATTCAGGATGATAATCTCCACAAAGTAAATCCGGACTATACATTTTCCCTTTTAGCAAAAACTATTCAATATATAATGTACATGTATGTTTTTACCACTTCCACAAACCTTTTTTTCATTTTTGTATTCCCTTTTGCTTGTGGCAGGTTGTTTCCATTGAGAGAACAAGGGCTCAACTTCTACGCACATGAACTGACTCAGGAAGAGATCAAAGTAAGAGAGGAAGGACAGTACTGTATATAAACATACAGCTGTTTGCACTCTATCATTGGAAGTCATATTTTCCATTCATCCAATACATTTAAAACATTATTTTAATAATAGGGATGAACCTTGGTGCATTTAGTTGTGATATTGTACCTGTGTGCAGGCCTCTGACCCGCTGTGTTTAATCCCGTCAGGAGTTCCAAAGCACTCGGGAAGCCAAGCGGAGGTTCCTGGCAGCGTATTCCCTCATGCTGGACTTCTACGGCATCAAACTGCTGGATAAGAGTGGGAATGTTGCTCGGGCTCACAACTGGAAGGAGCGCTTCCAGCACCTTAATGAGTAAGCACACACACATATACAGATAAACACAGTTTTCCATTACCGTCAGAATGTGTGTGAACATCCCATTGCCCATAATGAGAGTGGATACACAGTTTGTATCTCATTCCCTCGCTAATCTATTGCTGATCAAAGGTTGCATTGTAACAGGAATTATTCGTAGGAGACATTTCCCCTCATCCTGCGTTGTTTTTCAGGTCCCAGCACAATTACCTGCGGATCACTCGCATCCTCAAGTCCCTGGGCGAGCTGGGCTACGAGGCGTTCAAGGCCCCCCTGGTTCACCTGTTCCTGGAGGAGTCTCTGAGCCACAACACTCTTCCCAGCATGCAGCACAGCGTCCTGGAGTACTTTGTGTACACCATCCGTCTGCCAGCCACCCGCAGGCGCCTGCTCCGCTACGCCCGCAAGCACTACCGCCCCCCCCACGGCTTTATGTGGGGGCCGCCGCCTAAAAAGAGAGGCGGGGGAGGGAGCACGGGGGCCGGGAGCAGCGGGATCAGAGCGCCCGCTCCCACGCCAGAGCAACAGAGGAGGGGGGAGGAGATGTCCCCGTCAGCAGGGAGCAGGATTATTGTGTCTTCCCATGATGCCGTGGTGTACCAGGAGGGGGCCGGGGGGGGGGCTGAAGGTCGGCCCCTCTAACATGGCCGGACTGGAGGGGGCGCTGATGATGGCGGGGGCCCGAGGGGAGAGGAACGAGTACAATAACATCGTTCCTCTCTAGGTGTGATTGGTAGCTGTCTTTAAAATGACCCGCTTCAGTTGTTAGGTAGGGGAGATAATTTAATTTTTAACGCCAGAATGTTTTTATTAGCAGTAGATATTACGCTTCTGGACTTAAAATGAAGACGGTATTAGTGAACACATTCACAGAGTCTGACAAAGATGTTATTAGAATACATTCAGGTTAAGGGCTTACCATAAACTATTGTCATGTCTTCACAGATACATCTATTCAAGTGTTCTAAATATGGGGGGGGCGACTGATATGTTAGTGGAGGGGGGAGGTCATGGAACAATCCCAGAACCACCCAAACCAGTAGAGCGGCACGATCTGAGAAAAATGACTAGTGAACATTTTAACAGATTTATTTTTAGAAGATCTGGATCTAACAAGGATGTTGTAGTATACCGTCTCTGCAGCTGCTTAAACTTCATTCAGATATTTTAGCATATTTTGACTTTATTATGTATGTTATTCCATTTGTTGTTAATTGTGCTGCCCAGTAGACACCCAAATGATTGTCCTGAGGTTTTTTCTAACCAGGGCTGTGATTACATTACATTAGACAGAATGTTGCCTTATTGAATATTTTTGGTTTTCATGGTTTGTTCTTTCGATGGTTTTGGGTCAGTCTCCTCCTGACACACTGTAGCTGAGCTCCACAGCAACAAGCTGGACTGAGGACAACTATAATGTGAGAAAGGAGATCAGGTTGAAGTTGTTTATTTTTTTGCCCTGATCGTGTGAAAGGACATGAGGGAAGGAAGAGTGATAGCAATACTTTAAAAAACATAATTTTTCGACTTGAAAACCTTTGTTGTTGATAATATCAGGCACAATTTAATATGTATCTACTCTGAAACTTTATTATACTGTCATCACTGACAGGTAGCCCCCCACCTGAAAGCTGTACATAAGTATTGATCAACAGACTTGTTAGTGACTAACCCTAACCCTAACCCAGCAGAGGGGGTTTCCAAAAAGCAAATCAGTAGGGAAAAGCAGCAGAACTTTACAAAGCTCTTTATTTTTGCAGCAGGTGCTGTGATCTTACAGGTCATGTGATCTTACAGGTCATGTGATCTTACAGGTCATGTGTGGTGTGTTGCACTGTTTTGACAATCTGTGTCTTCCTATTGAAAGGGTTTCTCTCTATACGGTTGATTTATGTGCGATCAATAACAGTCAGGAACTTGCCACGTTATGAACATGGCTGATTGTTCTCATATTGACTCACCGCACTCACATTGACTCAATGGCAGTAATCCTTCGTTTTTTAATATATTAAAAATACGACATGGTTATGCAGTTGACTTTATCCATGTAAATATGACTTTTCATATGTTTTACAAAACGTCCCTTTCTTTTAAGGAAGTATTATATGATGATGAAGTGCAGGAAAGGATGGACACTACAGGTTAATAGGGTTTGGATTAAAACTATTATATTGCCTTTCATAAAAATTACGCATTTAATTATTTACATTAGCACAATTATTTGTTGTATTAAAATGTTCCTTTGATGATATGTTTAAATCTACAAATTAATCATTTTGAGGCTACATTTTTGAGAATTTAAGAAAAATCTACAAAACATTTAAAAAAAATAGTAAAATGATTATCTAAATGTGTATTTTTATTCTTCATTTTCCTTGAAATAAGAGATTATATACAAGCATAATCTGCAAAAATCTCAAAATTACATGGAAAACAATATGTTGTGTCTCGACTGTTGAAACTCGTAATAAATTAACACTCCACTGCGGCAGAATTGACACCCCCCAAGATGTTGCTAAGATACATAACACCACCTCCATCATGTGAGAGGATAGCAGGTCTAATTTAAAACAGACTTCCTGATGACTTGGATAAGAAAAAGCCATGCGAGGTGTCAGACAGCAGCGATGCATTTTATCGTGGCTCAAACGTTCCTCGTTCTTCCTGCTGGTTGAGCCTTCATCATCACCATAATCATCATCATGATCAGCTCATAAGGTCTAACATTGCTCCAGCCAAGATCTGATATAATTGTAAAAATAACTTCAGGTGAATTGTGGGAAAACATGGGGTCAAGTGTCTGGATTTTGTGTGTGTGTGTGTGTGTGTGGTGTGTGTGTGTGTGTGTGCGTGCGTGCGTGCGTGCGTGCGTGCGTGCGTGCGTGCGTGCGTGCGTGCGTGCGTGTGAGTGATATTCTTAAGTGCCTATTTTGTATTTTTTATGTTTTATGCAGTGTCTTTCCCAACTGATTTCCTGTACATCCTGTTGTTTTGTACAGCATTTTGATATTGACATTATTGTTTGCATTATAGTCATATACAGCATTAATATTGATGTACAGTAACAGCAGGAATCCATCTAGGAATTGGTATAAAGCAGAGGTTAATAATATATGATACTTGAAATGGTTTAACTGGCCTACTGATGAGATTGTGATTGTTCTATACATGAATATTCTCTGCTTGCTGGACATAACTGGACATTTGCCCGAACAATGTGAAATTGCCACACCTACTCAAATAAACATGGGGAACGTGAAATAAGAATTGTGTCATCTGCAATTGTTGAAAGAATGTGAGCACTGCGTATATCACTGTACATTTTATTTTAAAGTGGATAAGCAGATATCTATCAGATGCAGAGTTGTTCTGAAAGCAGGAATAATCCCAAAGGTTGAGGTAAAACTCTGTGGTTAGGGCCAAAGAACCTCATAAAGAACACATATCATCCTTGCATAAACTTAAAGGTCCCATGTCATGCTTTTCCAGTTATTACCCGTCCCCTTGTGTGTTATGAAGGTTTTTATGCATGTAAACGGTATGCAGAGTCAAACACCCTCAAAGTACACCCTGTAGCGAGTAAAACTCTCACAGTCTATGCTGCCCCAAAACGCCTCGTTGGAGATTTCTCATTTTCCATTGTTTACTTCCTGGGTACTGTGACGTGTGAATACCCAGAGGCCGCACCATCTGGCAGCATTTCACGAAACAAAGCTTCCCAAACCTTTCAGCGATTCATGCCGGATATGCACAGAGTATAGGGCACTGAAGAACGATGCTGTTCCTACTTTGTTTGGACCAGTGGGAGATTCGGCTACACAACCTGTAAGTATTCATTGTTGTTTGTGTATTTATGATGTTTAAAACAAACAAGGCTACCACGACTGTTTAAATGGGTAAACGTTTTTCGGGCTGCTAAGTTGGGATGGCGGAGAAATGCTCTCCGCAGACCCATGCTCACAGTGTTACAAACCTTTTTCTTACTCAATATCAAGCCACATGTATTGTTTTTACTTCGACTGTGAGTGTTTGTGTGTGCTCAGGATGAGTTTCGCTTGTTCTCGCTGTATCGCCGACCCGGAAGCCTGTCCGCTCCTCACAGCAGATCGCAGCAACGAGCCCCGCAACGAGCCCCGCAACGTCCCGACCAATCACAGCACACTGGGCTCACAGGGAGGGGGGCGGGGGCAGGAGCTCCAACAAGCCGTTTAGGACCAACCCAGTCTCATGGCATTTCGTGTTCACCAACACGATTTTTAATCTATTGATTCGTGTTCACAAACACGATTTTCCCCTTTTTTTCGTGTTGCACAGCACGATTTTAAAAGCAATGTATTTCTACTGGTAATGTGTTTCGTGCCTCAAGCACGTCCTTTTCTCCGGTCGGATCGTGGAAGACCGGAAGCTGTGTGGTTCATAAAAATAGGTTCTTACTCAATATCAAGCCACAATTATTGCTTTTATTTAAATCGTATAATTTCTGACTTTTGTTGCTGTCTGTGAGGAAAATAAAATGGGGCTCAGAGCCTCAGAATACTGAAATCTGTATTTTTAAAATCTTTTTTTCCTTCTAATTTGTTATTCTTTTCAAATAACACACTGTTATTTACTCACCAATAACACACAATTATCCTTGCTTTTATTTATTGGTTTATTTCAAGCGGCAAACTCTGTGGAAGAGCCGGGACGCCAATACGGAAGTGGCACACACTGCAGTTCATATATTGG